TGGGTTCGAGCCCCGCGTCGGGCTCTGTGCTGACTGCCAGCTCAGAGCCTGGAGCCTGTTTCAGTCTGTGACTCCCTCTCTCTCTGACCCTCCCCTGCTCACACTGTCTCTCTCTCTCTCCTAGAAATAAATAAAACATTAAAAAAATTTTAAAAAGTAGAACCTTACAGATGGAACAGTCAGGATTAAGCTGCTTTGAGGAAATGGGTTTTCTTAATATTGTTGCTGTTTGTTCTATTTTAAAGGCCGTATAATCAGTCTCTTAATAATTTAACTAATTAAAGACTGGATACAACTTCTAACACAGTAACTAGAACAGCTCTCCAAAAACAGAGCCGTCCACCACCTGTGCCCAAGACTATGGGCGAGGCTGTGTGGAGGCCAGGTCCCCCTGGGGGGAGGGACCCCCACGAGGCTGAAGCATGGCGGGAGGACCCACTCTTGAATCTATGCCTCCATCTCCCCTCCAGTGCAGCTTTGCCAAGAAGCTCAAAGACGGGGAGTTTTCAAATTGTGCTTCATGGACTGGCTGCATCAGAAACCCCCATTTCAGCTGCCGATTTTAACTCCCCCCAAGACCCACCAAATCGAACTCCGGGGTGTAGAGCCCCAAGTTTGCATTCTGAATAAGCTCCCACTAAAGTTTCAGAGTAGCTACGTCACCCACACCACAGCCATCCGTGACACTGTGTATGACCCACAGTACGCCCCCTACGGTGCCAAGACAGAGGACAGGCACTGTTGGCGGGGGAAGGGCAGAGGGGCTGGTATCTGTTAGCATCCCACAAACACACTCTTGGCCCGGTGGGAGGCAGCGGCCTGGGTAAGCGAATCTGCTCCAAAGGAAGTCCCAGAGGGATGGATAGAGTTTAAAATCTTTAGGATCAGCCCTTCTAACTCCTGGCATCTCTTGGTGAAGCTTTCTATGCTCAGAAGCACAGAGCTGATGTGCTGAATTAAGAATATGCAGGGACACCTGGATAGCTCAGTCGGTTAAGCATCTGACTTCGGCTCAGGTCACGATCTCACAGTTCATGGGTTCGAGCCCCGCATCGGGCTCTGTGCGGACAGCTCAGAGCCTAGAGCCTGTTTCAGATTCTGTGTCTCCCTCCTTCTCTCTCTGACCCTCCCCTGTTCATGCTGTCTCTCTCAGAAATAAATAAAACGTTAAAAACAAACAAAAAAGAATATGCAGCTGGGAGCACCTGGGAAGCTCAGTTGGTTAAGTGTCAAACTTCAGCTCAGGTCATGATCTCACACTTCGTGGGTTCGAGCCCCATGTCAGGCTCTGTCCTGAGAGCCTGGAGCCTGCTTCAAATCCTAGGTCTCCATCTCTCTCTGCCCCTCCCCCACTCACACTCTGTCTCTCTCAAAAAATAAACATTAAAAATTTTTAATAAAAAAACATGCAGTTGGATGCAGAGGCACTGGTCACCCACATGGGGGCAGCAGGGAGCTCTCTGACCTTGGGGAAGTGAAAGGCCAGGGTTGGGGGAGGGGGCGCATTTTGATTGAAGATGTAATTTCAATACACCAACGCAAAGGAAGTAGACTCAGGAGATGTATCACTTACAGATCCCAGAGCTGAGGGCAGGGGGCGTGCAGAGGATAGGCTTCTCCATCCCAGGTGAGGGGGCAGGAGACAGAGAGAAGGAGGCAGCAGGCACCTGTTACCGAGACGCTTCTTTCTTGCACCTGGCGCATTCTGACTTGGGGAACAGCTGGAAGTGATGTTTTGCGTGTGATGTAAGATATTGGCCAAAATTCATTTTTTCCATATGGCTATCGAGTTGAGTCAGCATCCTTTACTAAAAAGGTCCTGATTTCTCCAATGCACTCTAGTGTCAACGTCTGTCCTTTATCAGACGACCACACCTGCAGGGACTCTGAATGCTCCAGTTCCACCGACCTCTTCATTCGCCTTCGTGCTGATCCCATGACGTCTGATTACTGCGGCTTTATGACCAAACTTGCTATGAGATAATGGAAGTTCTCCAACTTTTTTCCTTCCTTTCCCCCCATTATTACAATTGGCTATTTTTGGCCCTTTACATTTCCATATAAATTTAAAAATCACCTACTCAACTTTCACAAAAATACTTGCTAAGATTCCCTTTAAGATTGCCCTAAATCTATAGCTAAATATAGAGGGAACTGACACCTTTACAATAAGGTAACATTATGACATTTACATTTCCTTCAGTGTTCACTGCATAAGGGTCTCACACATCTTTTTAGATTTGTAGACAACTGATGTTTTTTGATGCTGTTGTAAGTGGTAGTGTCTGAAATCTTCATTTTTCTAAATGTTTGCTGTCGGTAGATGCAAATACCCATGACCTCTCAATCTCTAAATACAATGATTGTACCTGCACCTTGCTCATTTTTCTCACTCCTGCTATGCCCTGGCAGGCATTTTCGGTAATGCTTCAGAAAGGTGGAAGAGACTCTCAATACATGTTTGCTTAAATGCACTGGGGGAGAGGACAGGGGAGATGGATTAAGGTTAATATTTGAATGCTGCATCTAGTTCCAGAGCTTTGGAAGATCAAGAAATTCAACTACCTAGAGATACTAATCCAGTTTAATAAGTTTCATTTTTTAATGTTTATTTATTTTTGAGAGAAGCAGAGAGAGCGAGCAAGGGAGGGAGAGAAAACCAAGCAGGCTCTGTGCTGTCAGTACAGAGCCCAATGCAGGGCTCAAACCCACGACTTGTGGGATCATAACCTGAGCAAACCAAGAGTCGGATGCTCAATTGACTGACCCGCCCAGGTGCCTCAAGTTTAATAACTTTCTGATTTGGGGCATAATACTCATTTTAGAAAGGATGAACAGCAACAACAGGACATCAATCCTGCCACCGCCTGAGATGAGCGCTGCTGGAGTGTGATACACT